GGGCTCCTTGAACCAACCAAAATGTATCTTCGGTATCTCTGCCCCCCCTTTTGTCTAAACCTATAAAAGGCTCCACTCTCCCTTACTCTGGGCTCTCAGCATGGATCCGTTGAGTTGGTGAGGTCTGAGAGCCCGAGCTTAAGCCCAAATAAACCATAAACCTTTGCTTTTGCCTTTTGGTGTGTTGGGTTCTCGGTGGTCTCTTTGGGGTCCAGTGGATGGGGTACAACAAAGGCAGCTGCTGAGACTTCCAGTTTGCCTACTCTGAGTATTTTTCTTTAAAATTCCAATAAAATTGCCCTAAGGCTTCTTTTTGAATCTATTCTTAAATTATTTCATGAATGAGACTAAGAACCCTCTAGGGGATGCTATTTCTCCCCCATATTATAACATCTTTGAGTATAACTAGAATGTATTTAATTCATCTTCCTCCTGCCACTAAGAGTAAGATCTGTGACAATGGGACTTTTAGTCTGTTCTGTCTTCACTGCTTCTGATGGGCACACAGTAGAAGAGCCCTGAAGAGAGGGTCTCGGGTTTTCTCAGCCTCCTCTTGCTGTCATCATCAGGGGTGATCTAACCATCCTTTCAGACAGTACACTCTGTGTTAACTTTGTAAAAAATTCCCATGATACTCCCTAACCCATTTCAGCTACCTGCAGGAATCCTGCCAGTACCCACAGGGGCACACTATCTTCAAAAATTGACATAGGCATCCTGCCCTTTGTCTGCAAGCACTTATCTTCATGTGTGTGTGATTAAAATGTCTCCTATACTTTTTAAAAGAAAACCTGAGATCTCCCCTGTTTCCACACAGCAATCCTTTCATTTCATCCCCCTATCCATTTAGAGATTCATGGGCTAAATTCATGTTAAAGTAATATCCTTCTCACTATCTTTCATTTTCTTACTCTTTCTTATCTATGCACTGTCTCCATCTGCTAAAACCTCAACCATAGTAAACCCAACTATCTGCTTCTTAGGTACATATGCTCAAGCGCCCCACCACTGCTGCACAATTATTTCAACAGAACTATTTCAGGGTCACCTGAGTAACCTAAAGTGATACGAAACCTCTACAGTCTACTCTTTCACCCTCTATACCTAATACTTCTCAAATTCACATCCTTCTTCCCCAGACTCTACTATTTCACAACAGAAACCAGCAGGTAGGACTTTTATAAGCTCCTTACTAGCTATATAACCCTACCAACACTTTAGGCATCCTGACCGCCATCCTATATTACAATGGAGGCTCCCCCCATCCACATCTGTACTTGGGATCATGTCTTCTCAGAAAAGGTCTGACTGCCTCTTCTACCTGGTAGATGCCTGCCTTTTCCTAGTTCCTGGAAGTTCTTAAAGTAGTCAGTTCCTTTATCTTCATACTAAATCTGTCCAATAAAATCCTAGGCACAGATGAGCCCCACTGTGTGGTTCCTCTGTGTTTTTTCATTCGCATCACTTACCTCATTAAAGCAAATCTTCTGAGTTTCCCTTTGACTACCACTCTTCCTCTATTTCATCACATTTTTATGAGGACTGTTCCTGTGTCCGGCTCTACTTTCCATTTCTGCATCACCCTACAGTCTATCCTCTGTAACTACTACTCCAGAGACAAAGTAAATGCTCCTCTACAGTGGCAGTACCTGACATTTCCTCTTTCTTGAGGTCCTTCTTCCCTTGTGGACACACATTTCCCAGTTTCCTTATTAGTTCAACTGTGACCAAATGACTGACATTTTTCCAAAAAAAATCGAATGGCAAAGTCAGAAGCAGATGAGGCAGCTCTGTATCTTCTCACTCTCACCATCACAGCTGGAAAAGGGAGGCAGCCTGGAATCCCTAAGGTGGACTGTCAAGAAGAGCTTCTGAACAGCCCTCAGGAGAAGGTGGCATGAGTACTCTGCCCTACATGTAACTCATTCCTATCTTAACTGCCTGGAGGCCTCACTGAAAGCATCAGGAAAACATGCAAGACGGACCTGGAAGGGTCTGACTGCTGCTCCTCTCTCCTTTGTCTTGCACCATAGCCTTACTGGTTTGCTTGTGTGTGTGTGTGTGTGTGTGTGTGTGTGTGTTTGAGACAAGGTCTCACTATATAGCCTAGGCTGGCCTTGAACTTTGGATCCTCCTGCCACACCCTCCTGCGCATTGGACTGTAGGCATGTACCACCATGCTCAGCTTCTCACAAACATTTTAATTCCCCACTATACCAAGCTCTGTCCTGTCACAAGGTCTCTGAACAAGCTGCTCCTATTACTCAAAAATGCCTTTACCCTCTCCTATGGCCTGGTTACCTTAGCCTTACCTTCAGACTCTTGATCAACAGTCAAATCCTTGATCACTTTCAGACCCCAATTTAGGTGAAAGACACTAGTACATGTTCTCATATAATTATGCAACCTCCTTTGTTGTATCTATCATAATTTTGCATTTACTAGTATAGTTATTTGATTACTATCTGCCCCCTCCCCTCAGTGTACATTCCCTAAGAGCAAGAACTAAGTCTATTTATTGCTGATTATGTCTGCAATGCTTACCACCACTGTGCCTAGCTATATATGTGTAAATATTTGTTGAATCAGATAATGCCAGTTACATTATAGAGTGCTAACAATACTAAAATACTATTAGTATTTTTCACTCTGAATAAAAAAATGTAATTTACCTGTTACATTCAAGTTCTTCAGGCCATCTGATCCCAAAAGTATCAATTAATTTTTTGCAGTCAGAATATACTTTCTCACAAAGTTTACGACAAGGTGGAACCACGTGAATTTGCTCTGTGCAGGTTGGTACAAAGGCTTGGCAAAGGAATGTTTCAATGTTTGGTGAACATTCCAGATTTGCAAGAGGAAGAAAATGCTATTAGGAAAAAAAAATAGAAAGATAAAGTTAGAAAACTGTTAACTGCAAATACTTAAAGTATATACCTTTTCACTTATACTCCAAATGAGTCTCTAGCTTTTACTATGATCAAATTTTGTGATTTTAGGTGATTGCTAGACTTATGATCCCTTCATACAAGATGGAAACTTCACTTTGTTCAATGATACATTTTTCAGAAGACCAGGATTACTCCAAAGAAACCACATGTAACAGTCATCATATTGTTTTTGTTGTTGTTGCTGTTTGTTTTTTGTTTATGAGACAGGGTTGTTCTGTAGCCCCAGCTGGCCTGGAACTCCCTATGTGGACCAGGCTGCTCTCTATCTCTATCTGTCTGCCTCTGCCTCCTGAGTGCTGGGATCAAAGGTGTGCAGCACCACACCCAGCTCAGTCACCACATTAGTCCCAATAATAAGTTCTCAGTGCTCTTCATTACCTTCAACCCATTAACATACACATGCCTCTTTCTGAACATTTTTTTCTTAATAGGATACTAATGTTTTTGGATTTCTAACTATCTCACTGCTCCTCTTTTGATCTTACATTTTTTAAAATTATTTTTATTTTATGTGTATGAGTGTATTGCCTGCATGTATGTGAGTGCACCTGTGTTGTGCATTGCTGCAAAGGTCAGAAGAGGGCTTTGGATTACCCTGGAACTGGAGTTAAGGCAGTTTGTAGCTGTCATGTGGATGCTGGGAATTGAACCCGGGTCCTCTGCAAGAGCAGTCAGTGCTCTTAACCGCTGAGCCATCTCTCCAGCCCTGACCTTACATTTTATGAATCTAAATATGGAAATGTTCTGGTGCTCAGTTCCTAAGACTCTCTATACACACTCTTCTGGAGAAACCTACCAGTCCCCATCTCTCCTGTGAACGCTAGGCTTGAATGAACATTTGCTTCCTGGATAACTATATTTGGCTATCAACAAGCCTGTCACACTCAATACACCTTAACCACAACTCAGTTTCACTATGTATTCCTATCCCTTAGCCAACACCCCCCACACCCCACGCCCACCCCGTCACATCTAGGTAAATGATACTAGCATTCAGTTGCCAGGCTAAGAATCTTGAGCTTTGGTCTTCCTTTTTCTTTTGCTTCATATCCAGTCCATCAACAAATCCCACTGGCTCTTCCTTCAAAATACATTCCAAATTTGACCATTTTTTACTATTGCTACCCAGTCTAAGCCACTGTATTTTCTCTAGACAACTAAGAAAGCCTCCTATGGGTCTGACTGTATCCTATATTGCTAATCTTACAGCCAGTTTTCCCTATCAATCCATATTCCCATCAAGGTGATTCCTTAAAAATCTAAGTTTGTCCCTGTTCAAGGACACAAACAGAACACACACCAAAGTCTTACCGACTCTATGAGGGTTCTAATTCCCCAATCTCTAGCTTTGGCTCTAGTTTTACTTTCTGTCTCTCTTTCTTGTATCTACTCCACTGCTGCCAAACTGGCCATTTGTTTCTTCTTCACTCTGTGTGCTTCTGCCTTAGAATCTCTGCACCAGCTCCTCTCTCTTCACTCCTGCCAGACAGTCAAGATTTCTGACCTCATTTGAGTTTCTGTTCACGTGTCACCTTGAGAGGCATTCTCTGGTCACCCTACCTAAAACATTTTGCCATTTTCCATTCCATTACTGTAGCTTTCCCTTACCTATATCTAACATTTCATTACACACAGTTTATTTCTTAATGTTTGCCTTCACTACTAGAACTAAATTCCCCAAGAAGAACTTCTGTTCCACTCGCTGCTGTATCTCTAGAGCCTAGAGCAGTATCTGTTACCTAGTGATTCTCTACAAATATTTACTGAATAAATGAATACCTGTCTGGAGGAGTAGTGCACAACATCAAAGCACATCAATAAAAAAATTTCAGCAGGGCTGGAGAGGTGCAAAGCAGTTAAAAGCACTGGCTGCTACTGCAGAGGACCAGGGTTTGGTTCCTAGTACCCACATGGTGGCTAACAACCAACCATAACTCCAAGAGATTTGATGTCCTCTTTCATCCTCTGTGGGCACTACACGCATGTGGTACAATCACAAACATGCCGACAAAATGCTCATACACATAAAACAAAAATAAATAAAAATTTCAGAATAGCAGGCAATGAGAAGATCACAACTCTTTTCAAAGGGGAGGATACAGAAAAAATTAAATTCTAAGTATTTGATACTGTGCTGCAGATGTGGCACAGTGTATAGAGCACTGGCCTAGCATACCAGAGGCCAAGGTTCAATACTTAGCATACATAAAATGGGATGGTGAAGGCACATAGGCCTACAATGCTATCCCTGCCACTCCCGAGGGTAATGCTGGAGAATCAGGACTTCAAGTTCATGCTTGACCTAGTTTGCTAGAGATCAGCCTGGGCTACATTAGATCATTCCTCAGAAAAACTAAGGAAAAGTTAGATCCTAAATATCTGATAATAATAGATGCTAGAAGGCAATGGAGAAATAACTCTAAAATTCAGACTAAAAGTAATTTTCAAACTAGAATTCTGTATTTAGCCAAACAGGTTAGGGTAAACACAAAGTAAATGTACCAGTTGCCTGTGCCTTCTGTCTCCACCTCAGTCTCAGAGAATTCTCACCTGGCCTGGGCATTTTCCTCTTCAGGTTGGAGGAAATTGTGAAAAGTACTTGGTTGTTTGCTCTCCTTTAAGTTCCTCTTAGATGGTAAAGGCTCACATCTCTGAGCATCATTCAAATACAAGAGATACAGAATGAATCCCAATTGTGAGACCTCTGTCTTTGCTCAGTCATGTTGCCCTATCAGAACAGGTGAACTTTCCATGAGTTCAACATCTTCTGAAGCTATTGTCCTGTAGTTGTTGGCTTCAGTATGTTCCATTACTTAATTTTTTAGATCAAATCTCACTACAAAAGTCACGATAAGCTTATATTCAGCATTTGAGGATTAATTGTCCAGTTCAAGAGTAGGCAAAAGTAATATGTATAATTTTTCTTAAAGGACAAACATGGCAAATTGTGATATTTTTTGCTTGTTTGCGACTTTTTTTGAGACACAGTCTTACCTTGTAGCCCCTTCTGACCTTACTATGTAGATCAAATCAGGCTGGCCTTGAACTCACAGAGATCTGCCTGCCTCTGGGGGGATTAAAAGTGTGTACCACTACACTGGGGTTGGTGGTTAACCTTGATTGTCAACTTGATTGGATCTGGAATCAATTAAGAAACACACCCTTGAAAGAGTTGGGGGGTTATGTTCAGGAAGGATTAACTGAGGGGAAGACTCGCCTCTGTATTGGGTAGCACCTTCCAGCAGAGCCCAGTTATAACAAGGTCCAAGGGAAAAACAAGGCTGCTTTGCCTGCCCATCTTCACGCCCCGCTGAGGACTGCATCACTCCCTGCTGTGAGTATATCTTATTGCTGCTCCATCTTTCGTTGCCATCAGGTCTTCCAGCATGGACTGAAGAGCAGATACTCTCCAGAAATCCTCTAGGTCTTCAGCATTACCTTGGAACTGCATGGAGCCTCATGGACTGAGAAGCCACTGGGTTCTCAGCCTTTCCAACATGTTGACAGTCATTGTTGGACTACCCACTCCATATTGTATAATCCAATCTAATAAATCCTGTTTTGTAATATATATTCACCTTATCAGTTCTGTTCCTTTAGAGAACTCTCACTAATACACAAGTCATTTGGTTAATCCAATAATGAAAACATACACAGAGAAGATAAATCAGATGTTGAAAACTCAAACACCCTCTGAAGGCCAGGCAGGTGGAGTCAAAGGTGTATAAGACAATGCCAGTATCTGGATGGCAACTACTGCTTAACTCCAACAGACCATTATGTGGTACTGTCAGATATATCAATTTTGCATTAAAAAGAGAACCTCAGCCGGGTGTGGTGGCATACACCTTTAATCCCAGTGCTTGGGAGGCAGAGGCAGGTGGATCTTAGTGAGTTCAAGACCAGCCTGGTCTACATAGTAAGTTCCAGGCCAGCTGGGGCTACAGGGAGACCCTGTCTCAAAAAGGCCAAAAAAGAAAAAAGAAAAAAAAAAAAAAGAGAACTTCAATTTTTATATGAAAATCTCTCAAATCTTATATTTCAATTTTAATTTACACATTTAAAACACTGTGCAGGACAAAAAGAACAAAAAAACAAAACAAAACAAAACAAAAAATAATATGTCTTTGGATCAGATTCAGTTGAGCCACCAACTTCTAAGTTCTGCTAGACAAAGAATTTTAGTCCTGGAAGGGACCTGAGAGGACTTTTAAGTCAATTATTTTCAAAAAATATATTTCAAAATGTCTGTGTACACATGCTCATCTAGCCAAGAAATGTTTCTTTAAATGAGAGGTTACAAAGTAGCCTGATGTATTAAACAAATAAAGGCACAGCTGCTCTGGCTGAGAAGGAACCCTCCCTGCTGAGAAGCCTCTGTGGTTTCCTTCACTAACAGTGACCTCAGAGCACCTCCAAGATCAGTCTGAAAACCACTGACTTAAGCCAAGCCTTTAGACTGCAAGGGAGAAAGTGGTGCCATTTTGAACTGGAAATTATTACTGAAATTCCAACATCTTCTCTGAATTAGAACCTACATATTCTTTTTAAAAATATTTTAGTTAGTATTTTCATTTTATGTGTGTGAATGTATTGCCTGCATGTATGTAAGTGCACCTGTGCTGTGCAATACCTATGGGCATCAGAAGAGGGCGTTGAAATCCCTGGAACTGGTATTACAGATGAATGATTGTTAGCTACCATGTAGGTGCTGGGAATCGAACACGGATCTCTTGCAAGAGCAGCCAGTGTTCTTAATCATGAGCTATCTCTTCAGCTGTAGCATCTAGATGTTCTTATCCCAAATCTGATGCTACTTTTAGCAATACCACAGTTGCTGATTATAAGTCAGAGCTTTGATTTCTTCAGCACTTACCACAAGCTGTTTAATGCACCATTCCCCTTCACAATTACCCTG